CAGGGAATAAAAATAGGCTTTTAATCTGGACTTAAAAACTGGCACTGATGTAGCTTGTCTAATATGGAGAGGAAGGCTATTCCAAAGCATTGGAGCCGCAACAGAGAACGCTCGGTTTCCTCTAAGTTTTAGCCGTGACTTTGGGACTGAAAGCAACAGTTGCTCAGCTGACCGAAGAAAACGAATGGGGATACGAGGCCTCAACAAATCAGACAAATAAACAGGTGCCAGACAGTTCAGGGATTTAAAAACCAATAAATGGACTTTAAAACTAATCCTAAATTTAATTGGAAGCCAATGTAGGGAGGCCAAAACCGGAGTGATGGTCGAATTTCCTTCTGCCAGTTAAAAATCGTGCCGCGGCATTTTGCACTAGTTACACTGTATCGCATAATTCCTTGTGCACTACATAGAGTAGTATATTTTTTCCGTGTTTCCTGGAAAAATTACTTGTTGCTCCCTTATTCTGCTATACCCATCTTTAAATATTTATTTATAATTACTTCCTAATTTCAAATAAAACACGCTGAAATTCCATTTAATCACGGGGAAATTACGCCCTTGGTAGCGTGCCGTATTATAAAGTGTTACCAAAATGACTGTAGATTTCAGAAATCCTTCTAAAAGAAATAAAAGAATCTCATGAATCACATTGTTCTTTGTTTTGTTCTGTGTTTTTTTTTTGTGCTAATAATACATAATATCTGTAAAAAAAAAAAAAGTACCACCTAAACTCGTGTGCCATACAAATTGAAAGCTGCACACTCCGTCATCTGAAAAGTAAGTCCATGTGGTCTGTTGGTCAAACACCCACAACTGCGCCATCACCGGAGCGCCAATGGTGCTCTGTTGACACTACATTGGGACTGCGAGAATTTTGTTTTACTTAGATGTCTCAGACTCGTGCTCCTCATAGAGGACAAGAAGGACTTGCTGGTTCCTACTGCAGAGGTCATGCGAGAGTATAGGTGAATATCCTCATAACACCAGCGGGCGGAGCAGGGCAGAGCCGACGTGGGCGGGTCAAATGGAGACGAGCTCTGGGAATGTATGTGGTAAGAGATCGGCCTTGATCAGCGGCGCTGTTATGTTGCTATTGGAAGTCGTCCCTACTAAAGGGCATGCTTTGAGCTTTAGCTGCGGAACAAACGCGAAGTAAATAATGTACACGACAGAGCGCAGGCGAATGAGCCTGCGAGACTCAAAGAGGAAGGATCCAGTACGGGTGTCCGCTGGAAGTTTGTGGCAGGACTCTTTGGCGTTAGAGCTGAGCGCCAGCAACGGCTCGGGTAAACAGATCGTTTCTCCGCGGAGTCGAACCAGAGCAGTGTCAGTGGCATACATTGTCAACGAGGACGCGTCAGTGCCGCACACCGAAGAAAACTTATCTCTAAAGTGTCTGAAGGAAGCCTGCGCGGACGCACACGCTCTTCTCAAAACGATTTCATTTGACAGAATTTCCCAAGGCACTACAGACATTCTGGATAGTTTCTACAATGCAGGCAAGTGATGGCATGCAGACTGTAGGGTAATGTAGCGGATATATGAGCACAGAATAATACCAAATTACGCAAGTTTACTTTTATAATCCCCCCTTACAGATGTTGCAGTGGTGGAAATAAGCGACTCCTTTTGCCAGCCTTCCCTTTTCTATCATCTTGGAGTGAGGGAAAGTTTCAGCATGACTAATAACATCATTCTGTATTGTTCTAAGCAAGATAGTGATCTGCAAGCTCATAAGGTAACACATGCTCCCATTTATTGTTACATATTGTTTATTTTATATAGTCTCATGTGCTGGAAATGGAAAATAGTTCAACAGGCTTTGCTTTATTACTGCAACTACGGTGGGATATTTTCCTGAAGGGCTAAAATATTGTTGTATCTACATTTGATTTAGAGATGGACCTTATTTAACAGCAAAACACCAGTTAGGGTTAAAACTTTAATCTGTGCATTGTACTTAATGTGAGTGAGAGAGATGGAGCCAAAAGTAAAAAGCTATAGCAATTGTTATGCAATGTAAAGCAAGCTATGGCTGCCATTAATTCATATTTTCATCACTGAATAAGTGCACATATTACCTTGTTAAAGTAATTTCAGTGCATTCATAACAAAGCTTTAGCCTTGAAGTCATTTGTGCAACACGCCTGTGACTGCTTTGTCTAGTGTCAAATGATGCTGCGGTTCCATTGTGGTCATGCAAGCTGTCCCAGCATGATATTTGATGCATCTATTGTTGTCCTGCAGGAGCAGTGTGGAAGTGACACCTTCATCCCATATATAGTGTCACCTCAGGGCAAGGTGTTTGCCTGTGACGTTGCCATGATGACTTGTATCAAAGATCTGATGCAACCTAGTTTCCAGCTGGAGCCGCTGCTCATCCCCCTGGTTGAGAAACTGGTGCACCTGCTGAACAATGTGCACATTCAGTCCAGGTCAGACATAAACTTTAGCAGGGTGTGGTTAAACATTATTACTTATTTAAACATTATTATACAGTGAATGCATGTTCTTGAGCTTCCCACGTATGCAATGTCACTTAGCGTGTTTACAAAGGATTGTGAAATTGTGGAATGTATCACCAACACTGGACTATCTGCTGACAGTGAGTACTTCCGGGAGTCAATTAGGCATGAGATTCGCATGGCACGGGAGCGGTTCAGCGGCAGAGCCTTGAGCGAGGAGTTAAACCACATCCAGCAACGCCTGGATAGTGTAGATCTGCTTTCTCCGGATATTGTAATGAGCCTATTGTTGTCCTACAGGGACGTTCAGGTATGCATTTATAAATCTGTGTGTCTAAACTAGTGATTATTTATTAACATATTATTTTATGTTATGTTATGGCACGGTGGTTAGCACTGTTGCCGCACAGCAAGAAGGTCCTGAGTTCAATTCCACCATCAGGTGGAGTTTGCATGTTCTCCCCATGTTTGCGTGGGTTCCCTCCGGGTACTCCGGCTTCCTCCCACCGTC